GGAGGAGGAGGAGGAGTGGGAGGGGGAGAAGGCGGATGATGGAATTGTGGAAATGGGGGAGGAGAAATTGGAGGAGCTGGAGGAAGAGGAGCAGGAATGTGAGGACCGGCCAGAGGACGAGGACAGGAAGATCAGGAGGACGAGGGGAATGATAGAGGAGGATTAGGAGAAGAAAGCGGAGGAAAAGAAGGGGAGGAGGACGATGACGACGACGAGCAGAAGGAAAACGATTGAGGAGCGATAGCATGGAGGATGAGGAGCATGGAGGATGGAGGAGGATAGAGGGAGGGGCCCGTTGGGGTGGCCAAACGACCACAGCCCCAGCACGTCTTCCACGTGGATTGCGTGATGCCCTGGCTGCGGAAGGCGTCGCTGTGCCCGACGTGCAGAACGGACATCAGGCCCTTGCTGACTTCGACCAGGGCCGCGGCGAGCTAGCCGGCAGAGAACCGCCCCATTATTCTGTTCTGTCCTCTACCTGTCCTCTCTCCCTCTGCTCTGTTCCTCTTCCTCCCTCCCATCTTCATCTCTCATCTCGCTCTCCCTCTCTCTCTCTCTGTCCTTGTCCTCTTTTCTCATTAAAATGTAGGATATCCCCCGTCCCCCCCCTCCGGACTTAACGTTCCTTTTTTTTTTCGTATTGCAATGTACATACGCTTCTGCCCCATCGTCCATCCGAAATATGAATTCATACCATCCCAGCCCGACTGGTATCGACCCCCCCGTCATGTTCTGCCAAAAGGAATTCTATGCGCGCGCACTCGTTCATCAAACATCATCAGTGTTCACGAACCCCTTGCAAAATATAAGACGAAGTGCGCACGCGCACGTCGTCGCGCGCGCATGCCGCAAGTATTCAAACACCGCATGTGTCGCAAGAATTTCAAAATCGAGTGTCCAACAGACAGCGCCCCGCGTTCCTTCCTCCTCCCGTTTCTCCCTCCCCGTCCTCCCTTCTCCCCCTCATTGCCTCTGCTCTCGGCACACCCATCACACGCTTCGTAGCCCCATAGGGAGCTCCATCGAAGGTCCCAGTGGGGGTGCCCGCATGCGTCCCCCACGCCCAGGGCAGCGCAACGTGGCCCCATAGGGAGCTCCACCGAAGGCCCCAGTGGGGGTGCCCGCATGCGCTCCCCACGCCCAGGACAGCGTTTCGTGGCCCCATAGGGAGCTCCACCAAAGGCCCCAGTGGGGGGGCCGCATGCGTATCTCCCACCCAGGACAGCGCTTCGTAGCCCCATAGGGAGCCCCCCCGAAGTCCCAGTGGCACAGTTCGCATGCGTCTCCCCCACCCAGGACAGCGTTTCTTGGCCCATAGAGAGTGCCACCGAATGCGATACTCACAACGACGGTATTCACAACTGCATATGGTTGGGTCCTTCGCCAGGCTAATTACATAGATCGCGCGCGCGCGTTCTTGCGCGTTCTTCATATAACCACAGGTTTTTTGACATGTACATGCAATTCTAACAAGCTGGTTTCTCGCGCGCGCATCCCGAATTCGTTTGAACGCTCTTGCGCGCGTGCTGTCGCGAGAATCCTTCGCCAAACATGTGACGATGTGCGCGCGCGCGCGTCGTCGCGGGCGCATGCCGAAATTCGTTACATATCCTGGCGGATGGCCCAACCATATGCAGCTGTGAGTACCGCAATTGTGAATATCTTTTTCGGTAGCGCTCCTTATGGGGCAACGGAGCACTGCACTGGGTGTGGGGGGGGAAACGCATGCGGGCGGTAGCACTGGGGCTGTCGGTGGAACTCAGCATGGGCCCACGAAACGTCGCACTTGGTGGGGGGACCGCATGCGGGCGGTGGCATTCGGGCCGTCGGTGGAGTTCAGTATGGGGCCACGAGGCGTCCAAGCTGGCGAGGAGTAGTTGCTGTAAGCGGGCGCGGGCTCGCACAATTTACGCGAAAAGTCGAAAAGTCGTAAAGTTTACGACTTTTCGCGTTTTCGGGTTTTCTCGTTTACGCGAAAAGTTCGTTCGGGTTGCGCATTTCGGCGCCAGGTTTACGGGTTTACGGATTTACGGGTTTTCCTGCCGCCCCCCCCCTTCCCCCCAACCTTGGCGAAAAATCAGTTCCGGGTGCACATTTCGGCCCCAAGTTTAGAGGTTTACGGATTTACGGGTTTTCCCGCCCCTCCCCCGCCCAGCCCTGTTCGATTTCAGCAGTTCCAACGGGTGCGCGCGTGGAGGAAAGATGTTCCTCCAACTCCTCCCTCGTCCTCCTCCCCGTCCTCCTCCTCCTCCTCCTCCTCCTCCTCCTCCTCCTCCTCCTCCTCCTCCTCCTCCTCCGTCTCCCGTTTCTGCTCCATCGCATGCTGATTCCCACGAATCATTAACACCGTCGCCACCACAATCATCACTTCTATCTTCACCATCATCACCATCACCATCGTCGCCAACGGCATACACGTCGCTTTGGGCCGTCTTGGGGCGCGGTTGGGCCGCCTTCGGGCCCTCTTGGAAGCCTGTAGGGCCGCCTTAGCGGCGATCTTGGGGGTTTCTTGGGTCGTCTTGGAGCGTCGGGAAGTTATCGATGCTAAAAAACTTGAGGGACAATTGTGATTTTTGCTTCTTGGGGACCTCTTGGCGAGGCTCTTGCAGGCCTCTTGGGCCATCTTAGAGGCCTATTGGGCCATCTCGGGGCCATCTGGGGCCGTCTTGGAGGCATCTCGCGCCACCTTGGGAACCTAGGTGGATTTCCCGGGCAGTCATGGCGGCCTTGGAGAGTTCTAGGGAAACGCCGTGGCCGCCCAGGCCCCCCCCGGGAGTAGAGGCGACGCAGCCTCGCCGAAGCGTGCCCCGGAGGGTGGGGGGCCCCTTGGAAGATTACAAAAACCTTGCCAGGCAGCCTTTGGTATTCTTCCACGCCTCAACGTGCTGCAAGCACGGTGGCGGGCCACATCTTCGCACAACTTTGATTTGGAGGGCGGTTTCGGCCAGCGAGGATCCGCAAGAAACGCCGTGGAGAAGCGAGCCGCCTCATTCATGAAAAAACGATGGCCTGAGTGGGTGCGCGACGGAAAGGGCGACGCGCCCAGGATCACCATGAGTGCCACGCAGAAGGCTATCAAGCGCATGCGCGGCGATCAGTCCCAGACAGTTGCTGCGCCCTTCGCCGGATGGTCGCCGCGCCGAGTTGTTGGTGGGAAGGCGAAGCCGCGCAAGTACTTGAAACGTGCCGGTTAAGAGTCGAGTCGTCAGCCAAAGCAGCCAGCAAGAGGGCCGGGCGAGAAAGAGAGAGGACTCGCAAGGTTCGGAAGCTCCTGTCGGGGGCTGGCGGGCCGATGCGCGGGGCCGTCGGGAAGATGCAGCGCCCCGTCGTTGAGTATGCCTGCCCGCGCTGCGGCGGTTCCGTCCAAACGACCGCTGTTACGGGGCGCGTGCGATCCAAAGCAGGCCACGTTGGAAAATGCAGGTTTTCCTTTCGAGTCGAGAACGGCTGCGTGGGAGAGGGCTCGATGTTGAGAGGTGTTCACTCAGCTGCGCTGTTGGCCGGGGCGGTCTCAACGCCCTGGCCGCCTTCGGCGGTGCCCCTGGGCCGCTCCGCGGCCCGTGGTTGGAGTATTGAGACCGGCCTGGATTACTCGCAATACCACAGCTGACGACCTCAAACCTGTGATTTATGTGATAGCTTGTTGAGCAGGCGCTCTGTGGTGAGCTTCCGCCGGCCTCGCCGGCTCGTCAGCTGGGACTACCTAGGCGGCGTGTCTGCGCGCAGCCCGAAGCCTTGCCAGTCGCCACCCCGCTGCTGGGCGCGCCGCCCGCCGGACTGTGCTTCGAGGCGTGGGCCGCCCCCCTGGGCCTTGAGAGGCAGACGATCCTCGAGGAACACAACGCGGCATAACCGTAGACTTTCGGAGCTCCGCGCGGAGTTATCGGATCGTCGCCGGGCCCTCCCCGGCGGCGCCTCCGGCGCCGATCCAGGAAATCTGCGCGGAGCTCCACGATCCTATGTTCGCGCCGTGTCGTGCTTTTCGAGATCCGGCGGGCGGACTGGGCGGAGATCCCGGCGCGGGAGGCCGAAGTCGCGCGGCTGCAGGGCGTTGCCTGCCCGCCGAGGCCGACGCGCCCGGCGCCAGGCGCACGCGCCAGCGCGCAGGCACCGCGCGGTTCTGGGGCTGCCCCCGCGGGCGCGGGCGGCAATGTCGGCAGAGAGCGCGCCGCTGGCAGTGAGGCACGCCGCCGGCAGTGAGCTCGGCAGACGACGTGCTAGCCGCTGGCAGTGAGCTCGGTGAGGCACGCCGCTGCTGGCAGCGAGGTGCGCCCCTGGCAGTGAGCTCGGCAGATCCCCCCCTCACATGGAGCGTGGAGGTCCCTGGAAGTCCCCACGAGGCCTCCGCTGCGGCCGCCCCGGCGGCCCCAGCGGGGACCCCAAAAGAGAGCCAGCTGTCTTCGATCCTTCCGCTACCCCCCAACCCTCTCGGGCGCTCGGCAGCGGGGGGGCACGAAACGGGGTGGGATCGAGGACCGAAGGAGAAAAATACCCAAGAAGCCATGGGCGGCCCTTAAAGATCGCAGCAGCGGAAGCATAGAGCGCGGCCATGTGCGCCTCAGTGTATATTTTCCGACGGGTCGTGGCCGTCTGGGCCAGGAATGTAGCCGGCGTTGAGGCGAGAGCACGATACCTCAAGATTGTGGGGAAGCTTTCGGCGAAACGGCTGCCGGACCGCCCCATTTGTGGTGCTATCTTGTGGCTCATGTTGCATCTCAAGTCGGAGCTTGTAGCGAAGCGCTATGATACATTTCAACCTCTTCACTCATTCCGCCGGCCCATACTGCATGATCGCTACTGCTTCGCCGTGGGCGAGCGGCTCGGGGCCATTGTGGCGCCGCCGAGGAGAAGGAAGATGCGGATAGGGAAGGAGGAGGAGGAGGAGGAGGAGGAAGAGGAAGGGGCGGAGGAGGAAGCCTCTCGTTGTCATCTTGTGTTGCTCTTGGGGCCAAACAGGGTCGTCGTCAAGATGTTTTTTTGGGGAGGCCTCTTGGGGTCTTTTTCAGGAGCCGTTCGGGAGCGCTTGGGAGGCATTTTTGAAGCCTTCTGGGGCCTCTTTTGGGCCTCCTGGGGGCCTCCTGGGGCCTCTTGGGGGCCTCTTGGCGGCATCTTGGGGCCTCTTGGGGGCCTCTCGGGGCCTCCTGGTGCCCTCTTGGGGCGGAAGGCTCGAGTTTTTGGTTCGTGGTCCCCCTCTTGGTCCCCTCTTGGGGCCATCTTGGGGCTCTCTTGGGCCGTCTTGGGCGCCTCTTGGGCCGTCTCTTGGGGACCTAGGTTGCCCGGCCGCGCCTGGAGAAATTATCCTCCCTCTTCCTCGTCGCCCTCCACCCTCCTCCTCCTCCTCCTCCTCCTCCTCCCTCCTCCTCCTCCTCCTTCTCGTCGTCGTCGTCCTCCTCCTCCTCCTGCACCTCCTCCCCCTCCTCGTCCTCCTCCTCCTCCTCCTCCTCCTCCTCCTCCTCCTCCTTCCCCTCCTCGTCCTCCTCGTCCTCCTCGTCCTCCTCCTCCCCTCCTCCTCCTCCATCCTTCCCCTCCTCCTCCTTCTCCTCCTCCTCCGCCTCCTCCTCTGCTACTCCTTCTCCCCTACCCCCCTCCAGGCGTTTGACGCCAAGCTGGCGCTGAGCGAACGCAGCGCCTCCCCGGAGAATTTCGTCAGGCACGGCCTCCTCATCGTCAAGTTCTCCTCCTCCTCCTCCTTCCCTCTCCTCGTCCTCCTCGTCCTCCTCCTCCTCCTCCTCCTCCTCCTCCTTCCCCCCTCCTCCTCCTCCTCCTCCTCCGCCTCCTCCTCTTGCTACTCCTTCTCCTCCTACCCCTCCAGGCGTTGACGCCAAGCTGGCGCTGAGCGAACGCAGCGCCCCCCGGAGAATTTCGTCAGGCACGGCCGGCACACGAGGCCCCCCGAACATCGTCAAGTTCGTGGGACCTGGGTTGCCGGGCCGCGCCTGGAGAAATGATCCTCCCTCTTCCTCGTCGCCCTCCACCCTCCTCCTCCCCCTCCTCCTCGTCGTCCTCCCCCTCCTCCTCCTCCCCCCGCCTCCTCCTCCTCCCCCTCCTCGCTCTCCTCCTCCTCTCCTTCCCGCCTCGTCCTCCTCCCCTCCTCCTCCTCCTTCCCCCCCCCTCCCCCCTCTTCATGCCCCCCCCCCTCCTCCTCATCATCACTCATCCTACCACCCCTCAACCTTTCCCCCCCTTTACTCCCCATCATCCTCTTCCTCCTCCCCTTACTCCTTCCCCCTCCTCCTACCCCTCCACCTCCCCCTGCACACCTCCCGTCCCTCTTCCTCCTCCGCTGACGACGGAGGGCAAAAGATAATGATGAACGCGGGCAGGAGCAGGACGAGGATAATGATGTCCTCGGGCGCAGGCAGGACGAGGAAGGGAACGGCCGAAGGCAACGGTTCGTCTTTGAATTATCCGCCACCGTGCCTTTGGGCACGGAGCGGGCGTGTCCTCAGTGGGCGCCAAGACGGGCCCAGTGGGTCCCGAAAGGCTCCTTAGACGGGCCAAGACGGCCCCGAATCGCCGAAAGAGCGCCCCGAATATGGCTCCGAGACAGACCCAGAGGCCTCCTCGTCGTCCTCCACCTTCCTCCTCCTCCTCCTCCTCCTCCAGCCTCGTTTTCCTCCTTCTCCTCCTCCTCCTCCTCCTCCTCCTCCTCCTCCTCCTCCTCCTCCCCCTCCTCCTCCAGCCTCGTCCTCCTCCTCCTCCTCCCCCTCCTCCTCCTCCTCCTTTCCTCCGCGGCCCTGGCCACCGCCCGCTCGGTAATCGCGTAAATTCGCAAAGTCGTAAACCAGCGCGTGGCTCGTTACGCGTTTAACGCTGGGGCCGTTTCCGTGCAAATCGGCCAGTGCGGGGAAAACGCTACTTTACGCGAAAACCGTCCGGTTTACGATTTTACGGGTTTACCCGTTTTCGCGCACATCGGCCATCGCGGGAAAAACGCTACTTTACTCGAAAACCGTCCGGTTTACGACTTTACGGATTTTCCCGTTTTCGCGTTTTTGGCGGCTCGCCCGCTTGCGGCTTCCCAACTACTCCTCGCCAGCACAGCGAAGCGTTGTACTGGGTGGGGGGACGCATGCGGGCGGTAGCACTGGGGCCTTTGGTGGAGCCCCCTATGGGGCCACGAAGCGCTGTGTTGGGGGGGGGGGGGCACATGCGGGCACCTCCACAGGGGCCTTCGGTGGAGCCCCCTTGTGTGGCCACGCAGCTTTGTTCTGGGTGGGGGGACCGCGTGCGGGCACCCCCACTGAGGCCTTCGGTGGAGCTCCCAATGGGGCCACGAAGCGCTGCACTTGTTGGGGGGGCCGCACGCGGGGCACCCCCACTGGGGCCTTCGGCGGAACCCCCTTTGGGGCCACGAAGCGCTGTGCTGGGTGGGGGGACCGCATGCGGACACCCCCACTGGGGCCTTCGGTGGAGCTCCAAATGGGGCCACGAAGCGTTACACTGGGTGGGTGGGCCGTATGCAGGCATCCTCACAGGGGTCCTTTGGTGGAGCTTCCTATGGGGCCACGAAGCGCTGAACTGGGTGGGGGGACCGCTTGCGGGCACCCCCCCTGGGGTCTTCGGTGGATCTACCATGGGGCCACGAACCGCTGCACTGGGTGGGGGGGGGGGCCGCATGCGGGCACCCTCGCTCGGGCTTTCGGTGGACTCTCTATGGTGCCACGAAACTCTGTACTGGGTGGGGGGACCGCGTGCGGGCACCCCCACTGGGGCCTTCGGTGGAGCTCCCTGTGGGGCCACGAATCGTTGTACTGGGTGGGGGGACTGCATGCGGGCACACCCACTAGGGCCTTCGGTTGAGCTCCCCATGGGGCCACGGCGCGCTGCACTGGGTGGGGGGACCGGATGCGGGAACACCCACTAGGGCCTTCGGTGGAGCTCCCTATGGGGCCACGAAACGTGCGAGGGATGTGCCGAAAGTGAGGGGGATGACGGGAGAAGGGAGGAGGGGGAGGGGATGGAGAGAGAAGAGAGGAGGAGAACGCGGGGCGCCGTCTTTTCAAAACGAGGACCCAACACCACATAATGGTTGGGAGCAAATTTCTGATTGCGTACGGATTTGAAAACCGAGGGTCGCGACACTATGTAAAAGCAGATGGCGCCGTAGCACCAGTTTACAAGAAAACCTGCGCTCGCGCTCTTACGAGTTGTTAAGGAGACCATCGGTTGTTCAACATGTTCATGGCATTCTGCCAAACGGACCTCTCGCGCCGCATGCCGAAATCATTCGAACGCCTTTGCGCGCGTGCTGGAGTGGGCACGATCCGTGTCAAATAATAACAGGTGGGCCACTCTCGAGCGTCGGCCGCGCGCGCATGTTGAACTCCATCCAAAACCTCATCGCCGACGCGAAGACGCCGTCATCGTCGCCGGCGTGATTAGCATCGGCGCCGTCACTGGCCGTGCCGTCGTCGTCGTCAACGCCGCCACCAGCATCGCTACGATCATCATCGTGTCTACTTCTGTCGACATTGCCATGATACCGCGCCCGCCCAAGTCGCCGATTCGCACTGGAGTGCCCGTTGGGATGTGCCCAGCGGTCAGCGCCACCGCGGCCGCGTCGGTCGCGGACTGGCGCGGCCGCAGAGATGCACCAGCCAACGCCAAGCACCCATGGCAATCGCCGCCGTTCGCGTTTTGCATGACAAGTTGCGGATGGGCGGGGGGTGGGATGGTTGCGCGAGCATGGAATTGACAATTGTGAGTTCCTCCCTTCCTTTCCTCGTTCCCTCATTCCCCCTCCCCTCCTCCTCCCTCATCTCTCCACCATTCCCTGATTCCCTGTCCTCCCTACTGCCTTTCATGTCACGCTCCCTCTCTCCATCCCTCCCCTCCGGCTTCCCCCTTACAACTGCAAACCATGAATTATAGTGTCATCCTCTCCCCTGACGCCGCCCAGATAGCCAATTCTCCCCGCGTGTCGTGTTTTACACCAGATTCGATTAAACAAAAAGGTGCTATTTCTTATGGCTGTTGTAGTCCGATTGCTTCGGTGTTTCAAAATGGTGCTCCCGCTGCACCGTGGGCCTTCTTTTCGGGTCAGCGCTTTTCTCCTGTCGTTCAACATGGCGTTCTCGCCCAGCCCGGGTCACTTTTTAGCATCCGAGTCCTTTCCATCGGCGTGGCCTCCTCATTTTCCGTCCTCCGCCTTCCTCTGGTCCTCCTGCTCCTCCCGTTCCTTCCACTCCATCTCCTGCTGCTGCTGTTCGTCCTCGTCCTCCCCCTTCCGCATCCTCCTCCGTTTCCTCTTCCGTTTCTTCCTGCCGATCCTCCTGTTCACCCGCCGCCTCCTCTTCCTCCTATGTACGCAGCCTCCCCTAGTCCGATTGCGCATAACACGAAGGTTTTTTGGGGGGAGTTCCAGGTCGGCCATGGCACGCGTCCGCAGATAGAGAACAAATCAGCACAATGGGAAGGGATGGGAGGGAGGGATAAGATGTAGGATGTGGCGCGAGCGCACATTGCTTTCCCTTTCCCCCTACAGTCAACCCGCATAGAAAGGATGGGCAACCTTCATAAGGGTACCCTTGCATCCTTGCCTCCTCGGTCCATCCTTCGCCGCTTTCGCCGGCCGCGCCCCGCTCGAAAAGCTTCGAAATGGGCGTCCAACGCCCTTGCACCCTTATCGCACATCGTCATTATACCGGTTGACTGTATGTGTCCCCCTCCGTTCCGCTCCCTACTCCGCCCGCTCTCCGTAGTTACCTTCGGAGACCCCAAGAGGTCCATGGAGGCCCCCAGAGTTCCCCGGAGGCCTCCGAAGGCCCCAGGAGGCCTCGGCTGCCCCAGAAGGGTCCATGACATCCAGTCCCATCCTCCCCCACCTCTCGCCAGGGGAGGTGGCGTCCCTGTCCCTGCTCTTCTTCCCGGCTCCTCGCGCGCAACTGCCGTGTGCTGATGTGACTGGCGGGCTCCTTCAGCCCGCATGTTGGATACGGCCGGCCGCATGTCACTTGCCCGAGCCGTCTTCGAAAGAGGCTCGCCCCTGCTTCGGGCCGACGACGACGGCGGCGACAGCGACGACGACAGCGACGACGGCGACGACGACGACGGCGACGACGAAGACGGCGACGGCGGCACGGCGGGTGGCAGGTTCGAGCCGCGTCGACGCGGCGGCGACCGCGGCACGGCGCGATTGTGGCGGCAGTCTTTTTTGGCACGAGCCTGCCTTACAGCGGACCGATGTATACGATCGAGGTCGGTTCGGGGAGGGTACCCAAGTGCTCTTCGTGCTTCTTGCATGTCCCTGTGTTCGCTGTACATCCTGGGGGGGACCCTTGGATGTTCTGCTGGTTTTGGCCGACGAAGGGTATCATGTTCTTGAGGGCGGGTTCTTCTGGCCTCGGTCCGACCGAATGCCTCGACAGCCAGAGGACGATGATCATCGAGGGAGGAGGCCTGCTCAGAGGGCGGTGCAGCGGAACTTCTCTCAGAGGGCCGAAGGTCCTCTGCGAGGCTTTTCGCTTGGCATCGTCCAGACGTGTGTATTTTTCCGCGGCGGGGACCATCGAGGAGCATCCTGGGTCACCTGGCAAAGAAAGCAGGCACAAAACAGAACTGTGCACGGGGAGTGGACTTCCGAGCGATGGCAAGTTTGTGGCTTCCGTTCCAGGTCCGACCGTACCGCGGACGTCTTCGCTTCGGGGGCATCGTTGGGCGTCTCCGGAAGGTCTCGCCGCCACGGCCGGGCGCGGCTCCAGGAGGAGGTTTGGGCGGAACCCAGGAAGGGACCTGCTCCGCGTGTTCCTTCCCCTCCTTTCTCCCTCCCCCCCTCCCTCCCTTTTCCTCCTCGTCCTCCTCCTCCTCCTCCTCCTCCTCCTCCTCCTCCTCCTCATCCTCCTCCTCTTCCTCTTCCTACAAAGACAGAGAACGAGAAAGAGAGAGAGAGAGAGAGAGAAACAAAAATAGACAGAGGCAGAGAGAGATGCATGATATGGGTGACTACAAGACGGCGGAGGACAAGGGTGAGAAGCAGCCAGAGTATCTCAAGGCGCTGGACTTCGTGGACAAGTGGAGCGACAACATGCAGTTGTTCAACGTATGCAGGAGGGGCACAGGATGGGACGATAAGACGGGAGGAGCTTGCTCGTGCGGGCTCGTTTTTCCTGAACAAGCTGTGGTGGAGAGGCCCCAGTCCCAATTCGAGGAGCGACAAGTGGCAGTTCTGGTGCAAGGTGGACTGGTTGCAGCTGTTGAAGGCGCAGGAGAGTCACCCAAACGACATGATCTTGGAGGTCAGGGCGAACAAGATGAAGACAACGTTTCGGGCAGACTGCGAAAAATGGCCAAATATCGGTTGCGGGTGCAAGTTTTTCCCGTTCAACAGCGGGCCGTCGATGGTGGTGGAGCTCAAGGTGGGGACCGCGTGGCAAGCGCTCATTGCGGAAAGCCTTCCGCAGCAATTCGGCGACGTCGTCAAGGAGTGCCACTGCGAAGAAGATGATCCCAGAAGAGCTATTCGACGTGCCCCCCACTGCCTTTCCCAATGACGCACAATATCGAAGGCTGCGACCTCATCGCAAGGTACCCAGTGGACCAGTGGGAGAGGTCAGGGAAAAGGGCCTTCACTGTACAGAGCTGGTGCGAGCCGGCGCTGAAGATTGCGAAGAACGTCGAAGATAACCTCCACAAAGTAGTGAAGATTGCCATCAAGGAGATGAAGAAGGAGGGCAACATGTACCCAGAGGAACTGGAGATATTGAAGGAACGCCAGAAGCTAAAACACAGCGCCCAGACCATGTTGGATGGCACCTAGATCTGCGCGGAAAAGTTCGGCTACCCCAAGTCGGAGGAGACGACGGCGGCCAGCTCGAGCGGCCACCAGTGAGCGCACCCGCTGGAGCCTGCTGACTTGCCAAGAGGAAGCATTAGCGAGGACTTTCGGAGTAATCATCTAGGCAAGGTGCGAGCTGGCCGTGCCCACAGACAGCCAGGAGGAGCATTAGCGAGGTTTCTCGGAGTGCAATTCATGACAGACAACATGGGCACAACAGTGCGCCTGCATCGCCATCGCAGGATGTGGGAGAAGACAAAAGCGACCATCAAGAAGCCCACCAGTGTGCTCCTCATTGGCCCTACCTATGACCGTGACTTCCAGTATGCTCTATCTCGTACACTCCGAGGGGGAACTTTGGGCTACTTCGACGAGGTACCAGAGCACAGATGTGACAATAGATGGAGCACCTCTCGGAACGACCGAGAAGTGAGCTGACTGGGAGAGGGGGGCACGGACTTAAACCTATAGACGTAGCAGCCCCCCCACCAATAGTTTGGGTCTCGGGCCTTCCGTCTCTCACCCCTCGCCTCCTTTTGAGGTCGCGTCGTCGTCTCCTCCCCCCCCTTGGCTCGGGCGCCCTGCTAAGCCCGCGCGCCCCCTCCCCTAGGGCACGCGGAAGGGCCAGCGGCCGCTCCCCCCGTCTTGACCCGAAGGGACTCGTGATGTAAGGTAGCGAGCCTTTCCTACGGGGCCACTTCGGAGCTCGGTCCTCGAGCTACGGGGCATGCCCCGTGCCGGCCCTAGTGAGAAGACAGGGCTGCAGCACAACAAGACGCATGTGATTTCGGCAATAGCGCGTAGATCGCCTGAGTAGGTGCTCTAACACTCGACCCTCTTACGCGGATGTCCTTGTATTCCTCTTCCTCCTCCCCCCCCTCCTCCTCATCCTCCCTCTCTTCCTCCCTCCTCCTCCTCCTCCTCCTCCTTCTTCCGCCTCCTGCTCCTCCTCCCCCTCATTTTCCTTCTCCCTCATCCTCCTCCTCCCTCCTCCTCCCTCCCCCTCCCTTCTCCTCCCCGTCTTCCGTCCTCCTTCCTCTTCCTCCCTCTCCTCCCTCCCCCTCCTCCTCGTCCTCCCTTGTCCTCGTCGTCGTCCTCCTCCTCCTCCTGCTCCTCCCTCCTCCCTCCCCTTCCTCCTGAGGTGCCGCAGCATCACCCGCATGTTTCCTGGTCCTCTCGGGGATGAAACAGGGCCGTCCGATGTCATGTTCGATATTCGTTCTGGGTCAGGATCCGATCGTGCGGTGCATACGTTGTGGTTTTCTTCGCCCGCTCTCGTTTGTCATATGTTTCGCACATATTGTGGTTTTTGTGTCGGGAGATACGTATGTATCGCAGATTTCGACTTTGTTCAGATTGCTGGCGCCGTGTGGATATGCCACCAGTCTTTGGATCAACACGCTGAAGAACCGGATCATTGTTCACAAGCCGAGGTCGCGGGAAGAGATTCTGGCGCGTTTATCTGTTGCTGGCACGAATTCAACCAATCTTGTTTTCGTGGGCGCTGGCACTTACCTTGGCATCAGTATAGGCCCCTAGCGGCTCTCGCGATTCATGGGGGATGCCGCTGTAGAAATTTGGGCTTCGCATCAATTTCAGTCGGAGCTTGGCGGTTAGATGCACTCAGGCGATGTACAGCTACAGCTCGCAGGCCACGCGTGTGTTCACATATGTGGCGTTTTTTTTTGTTCTCTTCAAACCGCGGCACAACTCACGCGGTGCCAACGTGAAGGGCTACAAGCATTGATTGGCTGGCCGAGGTTCGCTTTGCACCCTGACCTCCTTTTACCACCTGAAGGATATCGGCGTCCCCATTCAGGCGACCAGCGCCGTTAAGTATGTATATGCTGTTCAATATCGTTTTGTTTGGCGCCTTGGGCGGATTTTCCAAATTTACCTAAAACGAATGGTCCGAGGTGTAAGGACTTCTAGAAGAAAGTGCTGGCGCATTGTATGTGTATATTGTGGAGTTCAAAATGCTGTTGCTAGCTATCCCCATTCGAGTATGATAAAAATGATGCGTAATCGGACCACCGATCGATAGGACCCCACTGTTTTTGTGCATTCGCTTGCAGAGGATCTCTGCCCAGATGCCGTGCTTCGTTCTTGCCAACATATTGAAAACAGTCTGTAATGGGTGGGCTGCCACGGCGAGGTATCGTCAGCCGCTTGGGACATGTCGATTCGGCCCCAGGCCAACTCACGCGATGCCATTCAGCATTAGCTTGTTTGTCCACACTTTGTGAATTCCATCTCCCATCTGATACCGTTGCTTCCTCGGGGATCCTCTCAAGAGACTCTTGCAGCACATGCTTGAGTGGAACACACTTGAGGAGCTCCGTAGCGTTGTCATCAGTGTTGAGCTCGCGCACTCTGAATGCCATCGCACGAGCGCATGTGAATCGTACTGCCCTGGCTTTTTCTTTTGTCTCCTGCACGCTCGTGCTCGCCAGCTGGTTCGTCGCCGCCACTGTCTTGCTCCTGCCTTCTCTAACAGTATGATCTCGCCTGTTCACCGCCGCTGCCTTTCCGACCTCATCCTGGCATAGCACACGCTCGAGCGTTCACTGAAGCCCTGATCTTCATCATCGGCATCATCATCACCACTATCAGCATTCGGTTAAACATCATCATGTTCATATGCATCGTTATTCATATCACCATCATCGTAGCCATCATCCTCACCCGCATTATACCATGCATCCGCCTCACCAGCACCATTGCCATCATCATCTTTATCAGCATCAGCAACACCATTACTATCACCATCACCATTGTCATCATCATTATCATTACCACAACAACAGCAACAACAGCAACCCAACTGTTAAGACGATTCGCTTTCATATGCTCTTATCCCAAAGCCGCGATGCCCGCACTCTTCGCCTTTAAGTGTGCCCCCTTTGAGAGTATATCTTCCAGCCTGTCACGTATACACACATTGAAGACACACGGTTATTCAAATTGCACAAAATTGTAATACTTGAATGTAAATCAAAAGCAAAAACACCAAACTAAAAAACAGTTCATCTGACCTTTTTACTTTTTGGACGAATAAAGCATCAACTCTCTTTGGTCTTCGGTGGGGCTCCCTTTGTGGCCACGAAGCGTGCGAGGGGTGTGCCGACATGGGTGCGGTGTGAAGGGACGAGGGGGAGGGAGAGAGACGAAACACGAGAGAGATGTTTAAAGGACGGGTTTAGGAACAGGAGCACAAGCGGGAG